GATGCAATTTCTATAAATAGAAAGAATGACACAATTCTATAAATAGAAAAAATGACGCAATTTCTAAAAATAGCAACAATGACGCAATTCTAGTTGTTGTTGTTGTTGTTGCATATATATATATATATATATATATATATATATATATATATATATATATATATATAGACACACACACCAATAAATATATAATTATTGTCATTTAATGCACAAATCTGAGAAAATTCAGTAATTTAACCTTCAAGGTCAAGGTCATTAAAGAGCCGAAGCAAATTTGGGTTTGATAAACAACAAGGTCTGGTCCTTTAGAATGTTCTCTTATAATATGAAGTTGATCCCTTCAATAATAGCAAAGTTACAGTCAGTTACCACCAAAACAATGAAAATTTCAATAATTTGACCTTCAAAGACAATGTCATTAATAAGTGAAGGTCAAGGTCTTTCGGTATATTTTTAACAGTAATCTTTGAAGATTATTATGTTTAAGTTTCAAGACAATCCATTCAAAAATAACAAAGTTACAGCCAATAAAAGCCAAAAAAAATGAAAATTTCAATAATTTGACCTTCAAAGTCAAGGTCATTTATGAGTGAAGGTCAAGGTCTGGCTGGTTATTTTTAAGGGATATCCTTAAAGATTATTATGTTCAAGTATGAAGACAATCCATTAAAAAATAACAAAGTTACAGCCAATAACAGCATAAACAAGCAAAAATTGGACTTTTAACCTTGAAGGTCATTTATGGATGAAGGTCAAGGTTGGTGTGGTCTACTGAAAGGTCTTGTCCCAAGGGTTGTTGTGGCCAAGTATGAAGACAATACACCAAGAAATAAAAAAGTTATGATCCAGGTACAAGTTTGCGGACGGCAACTGCAACGCCGACCTGACTATAACAATACCTCTACTTTTTTTCAAAATAAATATGTTGTCAATGCATGTATCAGCTGACATGGTTACAGTAAACGAGAAGAGTATTTTTTCAGTTTTTAAACAATTTTTTTCAGTGTCTGTGGACAATGCCACAGAAATATCAAAATATCTTTGTGGACAATGCCACAGAAATATCAAAATATCTTCTTTTCATATATAGTTTAAACTCTTCTTATTTAAATAATGAAAGGAAGAAAAGTTGATTAGTTGATATATTTACAAGAAAAGCATCGATGCAAAGCATCAAAGGGCGACGCCAAAAGAATTTGATCCAGGTTTGCACCTAGGTGAATTCCCCAGAGCTATGTACAGAAAGTACCGGAAAACGGCGTTTAGCTAGGTTTTCGAATTCGTGAATAAACAAAAGATGTGTACTTTATAGCAGTACCATTTCATGTGACTGGAGCACAGGCACGAGTATCTGACCTGGGAAGAAAAAATATGACCAGATTGATAAAAAAAACCTGTGTGCATCTTAAAAGTGTCAAAAAACCAAAAAAAATGTAAATAATGACCCCTTTTAAAAACATACTATAAGTTTTACTTATATGCCTGTGACCTGGAGGCTTGGCCCAGTTTATGTTGAAACTTAAACCAAAAAGAATAGACTCTGTCTTGCCAAGATGCAAAGACAATTTATAGTAACCAATCTTAAGATTTACTTTACCAGATACAAGGATACCTGAGTCATCATCATATAATGACAGGCACAAGTATCACACCTGGGAAGAAAAAATATGACCAGATTAATAAAAAATCTGTGTTCATCTTAAAAGTGTCAAAAACCAAAAAAAAATGTAAATAATGACCCCCTTTAAAAATATACTATTAACCTAAAGTATATTTTTAAAGGGGGTCATCATTTACATTTTTTTTTGGTTTGTGACACTTTTAAGATGAACACAGGTTTTTTTATCAATCTGGTAATATTTTTTTTTCCCAGGTCTGATACTTGTGCCTGTGCATATAATAAAAGCTTATTGCTTAGGGTTGCAGACATATCATACATAAAAGAGGACCTAAAATGAACATCAGGGGGACACCATATATAGGTATTCAGAGAGAAGGTGTACCAGCCACATTCACCAGCTGCTATCAGGGATAAGACTTGAACCATGCAAGAATGTCATTACATATGGCAGATGCTTGAAGAGATGAAGAAGAAGAAAAAAGAACTTCTTCATGTGCAGTTTAGTGTGATCAACTGTACCAAATGCTTTTTGTAGATTTAAAAGTATCACGCAATACTGCCTTTGTCCATTTCAAATTAAATGCAATCTATTAATTGAATCAAACATGTGTCAGTTGAAAAACCACTTCTAAACCCTGACTGAAACTGCCTAAACCCTGACTGAAACTGCCTGACCATGACTCGAACCCATGACTTTCAGAAGACCAACTGAGCTATCCGGCCGGCTACACATTTTCTCTTTAATAATGAAACAGTTCTAAACCTAAACCTTTTTCCCCACTATATTGATTCATGTACTTGAATTTCTGATGTTTACAGAGCATAGTGAATTAAACTCATGGTTATTTGCAGTAACAGGATGAGAAAAACTTTCAGCTTGACCAGAACTCAAACCTGTGACCCACAGAATAATGTACTGCGGCTGTAGCGATTGAGCTATCTGGCCACTTACACATTTTCTCCCCTAAATAGTGAACAGTTCTAAACCGTGACAGATATTTAGATTTTTAAATTAACAGATAATTAATTCTTAATTAATAAATAAGAAAAAAAAAACTTACATACTCATAGTCTTATTTAAAATAACAATTTATATAATTATTATTGTATAATTATTTTTACTAACTTTTACTAAAAAAGGCAAAGACAGTTATTGGTTGTGCCATTATTTATAACAGGTCAATTTGAAAGAGAATATAACTGTGCTAATACATGTACAATATCTATGATAAGAAATTTTATGAAGGCTGATTTGTATTTTAAGGGCACCGGGCGAAAACATGAAAATGCAACAAACGAACCACTTTGTGGTAGATTGTATTTTCATGTTTTCATCTGGCGCCCGGTTACTTTTTTTACTTTGTTGGTTTTCATGTGGCACAAATCACCCACTATAAAATTTAGTGTACAAATTTATTCAAGGACAAGTATCAATCTACTCTATGAAAAGTCTGTTGTCGGGTTGACTCAGGAGACCTGGAGATTGAGACCAGTGTCCTTCCATTACAAATAGATAAGGCGGAAGCTTTCCTTTTCAAACTATGCACATGTTTGAAAAAAATTAGAATAACTATTCAGAACATGATTTTTTGAGGCTTTATCAATTATATTGCTTGATCCAAGTTTCAGGACATTTTCAATCAATACACGTATTATCATTTATAACTTTAAATGAAAGTCTCATCTCTTTAATAATAATGACATAACTGCAACTCTTTAAATTCAGAAATATTATAAGTCTCATCATACCAATATACTAAGATTGATAATATCTGTCATATTTTGCGGTTCGGATCGGAATATCCGTCCCGAGGTGACCCGCCCATCGGGCGGTAACGAGGCTTGCCGAGTTACCGCCCATGGGCGGGTGATCGAGGGACGGATATTCCGATCCGAACCGCAAACATATGTCAGATATTTTTTCTTGCATATTCTACCATATTCCATTATATTTTAAATTTTTTATCTTTATTTTCAATGAAAATTTATATCATTGCAACCGTAACTACTTTCATTCAACAGTGTATGAATTACAAAATCATTCATAACGGTAAAATGACGTCATCTTTATCGTGCCATTGTACAGCACGCGACTCATCTGGAACCCCCCATGCCAGATGAAATTTCCGGCATGGGTGAAACTAACGGAAACGCCAGTCTGATATGCAAGAAATAAATGTATGCACATAACATTAATAATTCCAAGTTTCTATTAAATAAATATGAAATATTGGGTATATAAAGCCAGTAAAAGTAAATATATATATCAATATTCACTCATCAGGGCCTCTATGCTTTTGATGACCTTGCAACTGGTTAATTTTATAAAACAAAAATTGTAAGTAATACCTAAGATAGACAGAAAAGAACAAATAATTTAGTAAACATGAGTTACTTCCCCTTGAAATAAAGAAAACATGAAACCCAAAAGAACACCCTAAACATCAAAATTAAGAAATGTTGCAGGCTCATTTTAATTATGCCATGCAAATTAATTGTAAAGTATTCATAAAAAAGTAGATGGCCATGTGACAGCAGTAATTGCAGAAAATCGGATAGCTGTCAACATCCGGATACTGGTACACTTTGTAAAAACAACCATTCTGTTCAACAGATAAACGTAATATGGATAAAATCAATAGGATAATCGTTTACAACAGTCCATTACCTATCCTAATACTCATTTGCAGGTGAACTTTCTTCTTGTAGGAAAGTTTTGAAAATATATAAATGAATGAGCATCAATGTAGACCACAACGATATTCGAAATCCGGGTTTTAGTATTGTCAATAAAACAAAGGGACAAGCTGTTAATCTGAGCCTGCAATTTCGTGAAAATAATATCACAATGCACATGCTTTTTATATAAAGTTATTAAATACAAATATAACAACATATTTGTTTACTTGATTTTTACGAATCAAAATAAATATAATTAACACAACATGAAATTAACTGCTAATAATAACAGCTCCTTCCATAGGCCAAAATAAAAAGCATTCCATAAAAGACGACGCCGCTCACCGGCGTCGCCAATAATGTTAAATGGTATATAAAACATATAGAAAGTGTTATTTTTGTACAAAATGTATGCAAAAAATACCATTTTGGTTAGGGCTAGTTAAAATGTGTTCGGGCTAGTGAAATTTGTAAGCTGCTAGCCCGACTGGGCTAGTGCTGATAAACAATTAAGGCGAAGACTGTCCAAGTACAAAAGGTGGTACCTTTGAAACCATTGAAGAAGACTGGTAAATTTGTATACTTTTGTTGTGAATCGTTAAATTTTCATTTTCAATTTTACTTTGGATGCTGAATATACAATATTTACATTACAATACAGCTAATAAAAGATAAACAAGACACTTTATTAATAATTTACCTTTGAAAAAAGGTTGTTTGTTCCTGTGACATTGCATCCAATGTGGCTATGAAAATACTGGTTATTTATCATTAGATGTAATAACCCAGTGCAATCAGTTTCACCAGCAGATTGTTTCTGCTCGTACCCTCGAGCATTTATAAAACACTTACAAATGCTCCAAGGGTCTGTCACCCAATGTTGAGCATCGGTGTTTTTCCAGTTAGGTGAAGGTGGTGAGGAGGCATGATGCTGCACAATATAGTCATAGATGGCGCCACATATGTTGTTCGGACAAGCACTTTTGCCCTTAAAGCAACAGCTGCATTTTACTTGCCCAAGAGGACAAACTTTGTTTCCAGCAGGAACTGGCTTATGGTCTGGCTTGAGAGTTTCAACTCGACAGTTGCCACATGTCACAGTTGATGGTAGTGACTTTGTAGACCGAATGTTTTGTAAGATATCCTTATGTTGTTGGTCAGCTATGTCATTACAGAATGGTACCAGTCCCTCCTTTAAATATCCAAGTCCTAAACCAGCCTTTACCCACTGTCTGTATTTTTCCTTCTCTAACTGAAGTTGATGTGCCATCCTGATACTCTATCAATATCTAAACAAACAAAAGATTATGTTAAATTTGATACAAATGAATAATTATGGTCTTGGATTGCAATTCAAAGTCTAAATACTAGGTAATGTGATTTGTGTCCCTAAAAAAATCAACAACAGGGACAATAAAGTAGAGATGTCATTGATCAGAATTTTTGTATTGATATATCAGTAAAAAATCATCGGCAATAAATCAATATAAATGTACCAGCATGAAGCAGACTTTATACAGGTCAGAAATTATAATCAACCGTTTCAGTTTTCAAAATGTCGCAAAATGCCAGGTAATATGTCACAAATTTATGATATATCGCGCTGATGAACAGGCCCAGGCCCTTAACAATTTTGACAAAAATGCCCTAATATTTGAAACAAGTTGCAAAAATTTAAGGCGTTGAATTACATATGTTTATTTAGAGTGGTAAATTTGCCGTTATTTTCTAATAATTCACTTGTATTTTTCAAGTATTGATAAAATGTCAACACGCCTGGTACATAATAGAGCTGCCTCTTTCAGAGGTAAACGGTAAATCGCTCTATCGCTACTTCCGATCTACTGCATGTCGCTAAATTCAAGTGTCAAGTGTTTTCATTTTTTATATAATTTGTAAACTCTATACCAAATATCGAAATTCGGAGAATGCTTTGCCATGTAAATTAGATTAAAGATTCTAAAAAACGTAAAATTGTTTGAATTGTGTTCGAAATGTAGTGACGGCGGCGTTTCACAGTTAGCGAATTCAGCATTGAAATGGCCCGTTTCATCATGAAACAGGATATTATCCCTCAAATTTTCATCTAAACAGCGATTCAGATTAAGGTGACAACGGAGTCAATTATTACTGAAAATACCTAAAATGAGATTCTTTGCTTAGTAGATTTATCGACCTTTTCTGAACACATTCGTGATTTAATTTTGGAAGCAGTTAGTCGAAAAAATGTGTTTTTAAACGTTTTAAAACGTTACCTGTACCATTTTTATCTGCTATTCGCGTAATCTGTCAATTATCGATAACGCTCCGCCCCCTGTTGAGGCATCAATGAGGGAAATCGGTAGTTCCATATATCCGTGAATTACCCGTCCATACTGGTCCATCTACTCGTAATTCATGTATCGTACAAATACCGTACATCTTTTATGAATATCGTCTACCTTTTATTAAGCATTTTTTTAAAATAAGAAATTGTCGGCCAATGTACGTAACATAATGTATGAAACATAAATAATTAAGCATAGCGGCAAATCACACGACCACGGGTTGATTTAAAATAGAGTTGCTAAAATATCCATAATGTGTGAAAATAATTTGTCTGTCCCGTTAATCTGATAGATATTACATTGAGTTTATGGACTTTTGTACGGATTCATCGGCTTGCTTTACATTCAACCTCGTTTTCTAACAATGTCAAGTAAAACAACAACAAAAACAGACAACATTTTTTATGTGAACGCCTATATGACTTGTGGTAAGGTGTCCCTGACAAATTTCTAAACCATTTTAGATTGTTTAAGGATGATCATTTCTCTATGAATCAATAAAAAAAAAGATATTAATATATACTATCAGTGAATGCTCTGAATAAATTGTTCGCCAGTATATCGAACACAGTACTAATAAACCTGGGACAAAGTATGGAATTTATATTGTATATCCCAGTAGAAACTGGATATCTATGCCGTGCATAGATGATTTTCATGATAAAAGAAGTCATAAAGGTCAGATCATAATGATCGATTGATACCTTTTGTTTCTATTATAATATGTCAAGCATTTATTTCAATTTGGAGGAAGAAATATATAATATCTCGTTTTTATTCTTACATTTACCATGGACTTTAAAAAACCATCAGAAGCTCAGTTTTTCTTTATTTTAATTTATATTTTAATGGAATTTCATATACGAATACACAGACAGAGTGACGCTGGTATAATATAATAATAATGCTGATGATAATAATAATAATCTTCAAAAGTGATACAATTAAATACCCCGCAAGCGGTGCGCAAATACGTTCCATTTCCCCCCACCGAGTGCCTCAAATTTTACCGAAAGTCACGTGACATGTGCGACCGACAGTAAATCACGTTAAGATTTGAAGAAATTTCTGTTATAAACTGATATTAATCAGCAACTTTTTAATTGGTCAGATGTCACTGGGTCATAAAATGTTGTTAGAGTATGTTAGCGCAACTTGTGACCCTCTCTGGTTCGATATTTGTGTATTATGCAATTATTTAGCGTGAAACGTAGGGGTCCGAGAGAGAACAGCCGATTTATGACACTTCGTTTGATGCGGGTCGGACTAACTTTGAATCGGCATAACTTTTTTAATAATCAAGCAATTAACATGCGGTTTAAAGCACATGAAAGGGAATTTATTTACGGAGGGAACCGTGTCAGGGATTTTTGTTTGCTCAATCAGCGACTTAATTATCTTTAATTACGTAATATGTATGGTGAAAAAAGTCCCATAAAATGTTTGACGTTACGTAATATTTTTTTGAGAAAAGATAGAAAAAATTTGAGACACGGTTCCCCAGATATTATAAGTATGTTTATTTTCCTAAAGTTTGATGACAAAAAAATAAAAAATGACTTTGATATGACGATTTAAAATTTTAGGATTTTTATTAAAAATCAATCATTTACAAAGGCATTTTTTTCAAATATGTTATTTTTTATGTTGATCAACGACATTTAATGCACAAACATTAAATAAATAACAATAATTACTAAAATAAGTTGGTTTAAATGACATTTATCTGAGTACCACGGAAAGTGTCTGTTGTCACCTTAAAGACAAATACATCTTAAGTAGACAGAAGGCATAGAAATAAAATAAGATATAGAAATCAGATATAAACATTAGTTTATAAAGAAAATATAGGATATTTTTTCTGGGAGACAGCTCTGTCATGTAGGAGGAAGTCATGTCGCTAACAAAATAGCTCTATGGTTACCTACAAAGTCATTGTATTTATCTCGGCACAAACATTTAAAAAAAAAACAATATTATACTAAATGTAATTACTATACATTCATATCATGACGTAATTAACATAATAAAACATTAACATTTACAGCGTTCAAATTGTAATCGACTAATTTTTTCACTGTACACAACTTTTACTTTGTATATGTAATAAACAGCATACTGTAGTATCTATACTTGTGTAGTATTAAATGAAGTATTGAACCTGCGCTCATTCAATATCCTTTAAGTTTATACATATAGAATCACCTCGTCTAAGTTACATAAAGAATTAACTTAAAAGTACATGATAAAATTGTCGTAGATTTACATTATACTTTTTCGCGCTACTTTGTATTAAAATGCCGCTTTGTGATACGTTGACGTCTGTGACGTCATTATAGTTTATTATTGTTGTTGTTATTGTTTGACGTACATACGTAAACTGAAAAAAGAAGACAAAACGCTGTAGTACTTTAAATACGATATTAGTGCCGTGACTCAAAGAAGATGAACCTACAGAAGTTAATAAGCTAATTGTAGTACGTAGCGGCAACAGAAGCGTTATTTCGAAGCTTTTGGGCGAAATCGAAGAAGCGAAGGAATAGAAACTGGTATCGAGGATATAGAAGAAGAACTCATTACCACTGAAGAATATAAGCTTGAACTCGAGATTCAGTTACGCAAACTTTGAACGTTTCGTCAAATGAACTCACATACAGGCGGTCGTACGAATAAAACAGAGAATTATGAAGATTTTTTTTCATATCAGAGCAGACAATATGCGGTAGAACGCTACTGATGCAGAAGACGCTGGACAGACCGGAAGTCATTTAATAAATTATGTAAGACGAGTGATTTAAAGATCATAACGTAGGCGTCCAAAATAGAAACATTAACATATAAAAACGAAAGGGAAACAACCTGGTATACTACACAATCTTTTAACCCTATGACTATGACAGAAATCTATCAAAGGATCATTCGTTAAAGTTTCATTAAAATACACTTGATATTTCAGGAGATATGTAAGTTATAGGTTTTTTTCCTTTTTTTAGCTTTTAAAGCCATTTATTTCAGGACACTAATTCAATTTCAGGAACTTAAATAAAGATTACCTTCTCATCATTCCGCAGAGTATCATTAAATTTTTCCCATAATTAAAAAGTAGACCTCATTTAAAGGAAATCGCCAGGGGGTTGGATAATAAAATATCATATTGCTGTTACACTTTGTTGCTATTTTTAGATTTTTAGGTCTGGCAGTCGTTTTGTTCAGCAGATGGGAACCATTTTAGCAATTATTATAGTCATCTATCCAACGAAAAATTATGTTTAGTTTAATCAAAATTTGCCCGATAGTTTAGGAGGAAATGACATTTAAATATTTTTCTACTCTTGCAAACATCGTGTTCAGCATATTGGGCAGCATATTGGGCGCATTTGGGCAATTCTTTACAAAAACTAACCATGGCTGAATCCTGTAGAAGTTCATCATATATATTAGATCTCGTTAAACGTCAACAGTCTATAAATATAGGCTGTACACGCAAATGTTGAGAAATTAATTTTTGGCACATTACATTTACCAACTGACCCCTAGCTCAATCCAGACCATGCAAGGTATCTTCTTGACCACCGGCAACAAATTAATGCAGTTTACCAAAAGTGAAAAACAAATCGCATATTATACTCTTTATTTTAAAAATTAAAAAACGATTTTATTTTGTTTTTGAGTCTCTGTAAAAGGGATGCATGACACATTGGAAGAAACTTTAAAAGAGGTTAGGCTTCAGCAATTTCATGTTGATTTTGCTAAACATGGTCCAAATCCTGCCTGTATTTAGCCGCACAGAATTGTTTCACTGACCTCTACTTGGATGTGTTGAAAAAAAATATATCTGATGTATTTTAAGAATTGTATAATACATTGTATTTGATGTAGGTGAGAAAAAAAAACAATAAATTGTTTGCAACATTTTAGACCATTCCCTTATTTCACATTTTCAGAACAAGCATTTTATCGTG